GTGGATGAATCTTGTAAACGATTGTCCACGTCCCTTCAGTATACTTTTGATCGGCAACAACGATCTTCCCACAGCCGAAGCAGCGGATGTCACGCTGTTCGGCGGACCCAAGTTTAATTGGAACTGGTCCGTTGGGGCTTGTTCGACCGGGAGCCGACAAGGAACTCCCAGTCCACGCTGAGGCCGGCGTATGCGCCTGGAGATGGCTGTACTCTTCTTGAAGAGCCACTTGAATCGCCTCTTCAAGGGTGCTTGACTGCACCCGGAACAGCTGAGTGCGTGCGGAGCCCACTCGAAGGCCGTCCATGAACACAGGCATCTTGATGTGTTCGTTGAGTGGATTTCCCACTAGGGACGCCGTGAGCTCCTGTATCTCTTGCACATACTCGTGCAGTTCGCGCCTTCCTTGTTTACACGCGAGGAAGTGCGAGCGCTGGCGGTACTCGTAGCTCGCCGGGATCGTTGTTGCCGATCAAAAGTATACTGAAGGGGCGTGGACAATCGTTTACAAGATTCATCCACAGCCACCCAGCTTCTTTGGACGTTCGTGTACATTCAGGTCATCGACGCCGCAGTACTCATCAGAATACGACTGCGGAAGTTTCAGCTGTGAATTGTCCAAAATATTTGCTACTCTATTGCTATCTGACAAAATCGCCCTCGTAGCTCCGAAGGGCATTGCAAATGTTAAAGACGCAAAACGCAGAGATACGCTAGCAACAGATACAGCAATTGACGCACTTTTACGTAAACTATCCGAGCATGGATTCCACTATAAGTACAAGGTGGGCCCTGAATCACGACGCTTAAAAACCTGCTGTGAGCTCACCCTGACACTATAACCTGACACGACACTACATGGGTGTACGCGTTATCGACTGTACATGCAAGACAAACAAACACAACTGGCCTCTGTGCAACATTATTATTCTCACGGATTAAACAATGTACTCCCTCTTGCTCAGTGTATGAGTCCACACAACCATATTTGAGCAACCCCTAAAGCCGAGTTCAACTACACGTAGGTCTTCAACCAACTGAAGCTTCTTCTCTTAGAAAATAGCGTGCTATTGCCTCAAATCCTCGTAACGGACCGAGACCTTGCGTGTATGAATGCAAGCGATGCTGTTTATCCTAAAATCTATAACATCCTGTGTCGCTGACACGTCAACCGAAATGCTGTGGTGCGCGTGCAAGACGACATCGGGACTATACGCCTATCTCGACCGGAGCAGAACGGTGAAATGAAACAGAATTCAGTGGAGATGTATGTATTCATGGCTAATTATTATGAAGTAATTGCGTCGGAGTTGGTGTCTGAATTCAAAGAGCATTGTGTGGTTTTACGAGGCCTTAGCAGTTCTACCGCTGAGCATCTAGAGCGAGCTTGGGGGAAGTATAAATCCAGGATAGTCAAGTGCTGGACAGATCGACATGTTAACTTTGGCTGTCACGACACGTCCACCGTTGAAGGCACTCTTGCAAAGATAAAACGGTGGCTGGAGACCTTAAAAGAAGATTTATTGAACGTTTTCATGAAGATTATTCTCTGGTGGGACGCTTCCGCTGAAGCTATCACCTTTTAGTCAGCACAAGAAGCCACAATCGTTCCTCACAGACTTCGGTGGGGCCAGTATTCTGCTGTTGTTATTAACCTACGCACTTACGGAGACTGACAAACGCTGGAGAGCCGCTCGTAATTTGGCCACTTCTGGTAGCGAAATAACATCATGCTCAGTGGTATTCCGACGCACGCATTGAAGGCCGTCTCTTCACCAGCTATTTGAAATTTATTCATCCATTGGTCAGCAGAAGATCTTGCCGGAACACTTCGACAAACACTGCTGGGTATTGTCAAATGATGACAGGCTGATCGACCGTATTCTGGAGCCTTCCAACTTGCAAACCAGGCGCAAAACATCCAACTCCATAAACCAATACAAAGCGGGGCATGGCGCAAGCAGTACGCGACGAGAAGCTCCATGGTTTGAGCGACACGACCGCGAGAACCAATCGGATGCACCTGCGTTCTCTTTTCAGTTGATTTTGGCAGAAGGCGACAGCAATAGTGAGGATATCGCGTTTTTGCCTCCGCGTAGTTGGGATTATGCTGCCTTGAACTAATCTTTTGGCAAATCTGTAAGGAAAAAACAATAATACCACTGGGAGGAATCGAATCCCCTCATCCCTTTCAAGTGCGTTTCCATTAAGCTACGCTGGTGCGCTTGAGAGACAAAAGTAGCATCATGGTAGTTAGCAGAATAATCAATAGATAAACTGTAGAGAGCAGCTTATCTTTCATTGTCGGACGGGGAATTAGCGGCATGCCGCGACAACCCTCTTAGGACATTAGCCCCCGCTTAATTTGCCTTCGGCAGTGAATCAGACAACGGGCGCGATACTTTATTTACGGCTGCGTTTCAACTATATTCTTCAAAAGATTATTCTCCATAAATCATGCTGGTATTGATGAAGATCGACTTTGGCTGGTCATGATTGACTTCAACGTCCTCTATTTCAATGTACAAACTGCATCTGGTGCTCTATTTATGTTTAGGCGCTCCTTAGTCGGGTACTCCTTAGTTTCTCACCATCATGCATGTGCCGGCCTGTCCAATAGCATATCCAGAAGTTACGATTAACTGCTTGCCAAACGTTAAGTTGAGCCCAGGGACAAATACTGTCATTTGCGAAACAACAGCGATGCCAAGCACTTCGGTTGTCAAAAAAAATCGAAACAAAAATACACAGCTTGCTGCCCACCCCCTCGAACGGTGATCGTAACAACAGACACTCAATTAGCAAAGCTACGGCGAGTGCAGGAATTGGTGTGAGTACACAGACGAGAGCTATTTGTGTCCACGTTGTTGTGCTGTAGTAATCCACCAGACTCATGGGACGCTCAATAGAGAACGATCCCTGGCGACCAACTTGGATCCGATTCCATATCTCCTTTAGCTAGCGCCAAAACGAGTTAGAGTTGATTTCTGCTGTGTCTGGTGTGGGCCTAATTGCTGGTTTTGAGTGAGTGTTGCACAGGAAGCTTCGCATGGCATCGATGCTGACCTCAAGAACACGCATTATTCGCGAGACATGGTGTAAGTAGCTATTTATAAAACAGTAAAAACTGGAATCATTTTTATTCGGCCGCAAGAAGTTATTAGAGAGCTTTTTTGTCTGGAATAACGCAAGGCTTGGAATAACGGATAAAATCTGAATAAATGACGGACAGATTACCGATCGATATTCGACACTTTACTTCAGTGGAATAACCGCTATTCCACTGGAATATATTTCTGGACGAAAAAAAATCTTATTCTAAAATACCAGAAACTAAAAGCCGTAAAAAGTTCTCTATTAATAGTACCGGTATTGTGCTTTGCGTATACGTTTTATGGCTTCATGACCGGACCATAAAACGATGCATAAAACGACAAGCGAAGCTCGAAATGTTTAGAAAAAAAAATCTACGTGTATTTTTCTCACTGACGCTTATTTGCTTTCTCCACGCGGAAGATTCCTTCGGGTGAGACGAGAGCGCCACTAAAAACAAGTGAAACATCTTCCAAGTCGATCCATCATTGGAGTCAGTAAGTCAGTGTCAGAGAACAACCCGATCACGCGCTTGCTCGACTCGTCCCATGCGAAGCGCACCGAGCCAGGTAAGACAATGCGCTGGTTCAGCAGTCTGGCGAAGATACCCCGCCTGCGCTCATCCATTTCGCTGCTTCCATCTCCCAAGCTCGGAAATAAGTACAGCAATGTGTCTTTGGTAAGAGTGACAGTCGTATTGGTCATTCCGATGAGGGTCTCAGCTGACAACTGTTTTAGACTGTTCAGCCGAATGTGACCACCAGGAAATGCTTGCGGAAAGACCTTCCAGTTTTGTATAAGTGTATCGATACCACCAGAGCTTATTCCAGTATCTACACGTAGATCTGGCGCCATACTTGCGCTCAAAAAGTTGAAAGCCCGCGTCTGAGAAACGTCTAGTTTGGGAAATCCGAACTGGAAGACGCGGAAATATTCGACTGCAACGAACCAGACATTCTCTTTCGGGAGCCTCTCTCTTAAGCTCAAACGCTGGACCTGGAGTTGCTCAATTTCTGTGCGAAGTTTTGGGATAGACTCGACAAGGTTCTCCACCGTCTTCTGCTTTTTCTTGAGATGCCGCTGCTGAATTATCTTTCGACGGTCCCGACGGTCTTTCAGGATTGAACGCAGTTCGCTCAGCGTGTCTTGGTCGGCTATAGCACCAATTTCTTGCATTGTCAGCGGGTGTGGAATCGCAGAGCTCCTGTCGCCAGTTTGCGGTATCCGACTTGATGAGCTCCATGCAGGCTCGTTGCAGTAGCTCTGTTGCTTCTGCCTGCTCGTGCATACAGCTTCGCCAACGAAAGTATGGTGGACTGATCGTCTTCGCTCGGCGACAGCGCCGATGACGTCTTCACTCATAGTATGGCGGGTGGGAGGACGAAGCATCGTAGTCTCGCAGCTTAATCGGTAGATTCGAAATGACGGAATGGTAACTCGCTGAAAACCTTGCTCATCGATATATTACAAGATTACGCTGCATTGTTACCGATCGCGTGCCAAGCGTGGCAAATCGCATTCGTTGTAGGAGCTTTATAATGTAATTATGACTCGACTGGCATCAGATTCATGGGGCTTGTTGATGGCGTGCGAGCATCATTTAAAACGTATGTTCGTACTTAAATAAATAAATGAAATTTTATATATTAAAGTGACAAACAACTTCGTAAGTGGTCCTCGTCTTTCTCCGCTAATACTTAGTATAAGTTGTAATTCCAAAAGCACAATTGATAATTTAGTCCAGCGACAACTTTACAAAAAAATTACCATGGCTCAACTTGCGAAAATTATCGCCAATATCTTTTCTAAAAATGCTCAGATAGAAGCGCAGATTATGTTTATGCTTACGTGGGTTTGAATGTCATCTCTGTATTGCCACGTTGTCGTCAATGCTGCTTTTGTTGTGGTTACCGTTTTAGGTGACTGATGTAGCGTAGTGAAAGCAGTGCCAACAACCGAAATACCACAATGAGAATGCCCAGAATCACGACGTTTCTGGGGATATGATCCGATTTCATGTCGAAGGCGTGCTCGACGTACTGCTTGAGAGAAATGTTGCCAACAGTGGCCGGTGCGTTCTGTAGAATCTGACAGCCAAGTTTCTTGCTCGTTGCACTGGGACAGTCAGCAAAGACCATTGCTACGAGAGTTGCAATACTGTAGGTTGGTGGCGAGATGTAGTATCGCGATATTATTCGCTGGTGGGTTGAAGCCCGCGAATAGCATGAAGATGGAGCTGAGCAGAGCTCCAGCAATTGATGCTACCGCTACACTAGGCAAAGCGAACACCAGCAGCTGACCAAAGTACACAAAGAGCAGTGCGTTGAGAGACACGACGAGCCAGTAGGTGATGAACGTTCCAAAGCCGGTAAAGCCAACGCTAGGAAAGAAGATGATGGTGAAGGCGAGAGATGATAACATGACGTACGGAATCTCGACCAATGTACCGGCGATAAAATACCACAAGGCATGGTACGTTTCCGATGCTCGCTCCCGATAAAAGGCTGTACGTTCGTCAGCCGCGACAGGCATCACACTGTTGAAGCCGATGATACCCAGGAAGACGGTGCTGATGAAGACGAGTCCGACCCCTGCGTTCGCACCCGTGAATGTGGTGTAGTCGGTAGCCTGGTAGATGATACCGAAGATGGCACCCAGCATCACACTGACCATCAAGCGAGTGAGGTTATACGTCGGAGTTCGCCAGTACATGTAGAAGAAGCGACGACACAGCAACTTGAATTGCGCTGTCTTAGTCGACGCGAATTGCTTCGTAAACTTAAGTTCGGGGAGATCTGGCGACGGCCGAAGAACGCCATATTGGTTGAGATCTTGCTCCATACAAACGTTTAGATCACTTTTCGAAAAGTACTCTGCGAAATCTATTCCATGAGTATGAGAAGAGGCCCCGACGCCAGCGCCAATGCACTCGAGCATCCATGTCGCGGGGTTGTACCCAGGCTCGATCGGCGTCACTCCTGGGGCTGCCTCAAAGTATTTGATAAGGTTGCACGAGTCTTTGCCGAGTTCTCCGAAAAACACCATACGTCCGCCACGTCGAAGAAGCAACAGAGAATCGAAGAAACTAAACACCACGGAGCTCGGTTGATGGATGGTACACACAATCGTTCGCCCCGAGCTTGCGATTTTGCGCACTCCATTCATAATGAGCTTAGCGGATCGCGCGTCCAACCCACTGGTCGGTTCGTCCATAAAGATGATACTAGGCTGTGCAACGAGCTCGACCCCGATGGTCAGACGCTTCATCTGTTCGGTGGACGAGCCGCGGATGATCTTGTCAGCAATGGGGCCGAGTTCCAGCAACGCAATGCATTCCTCTACCGACACCATTTTCTCCCGGGTGGATACACTAGAGCTCTGTCGCAACATGGCGGAAAAAGATCAGAGCTTCTCGAATGGTTGCAGACTCGGAGTGGATGTCCATTTGCTCGCAATACCCTGTGCTTCTGCGGATGGCGAGGTCGCTTGCCGGGTACCCATTTAGCAGTATTTTACCGCGTATTTTCCCTCCTGTCTTTCGTCCTGCGATGACGTCCATGAGTGTGGTCTTACCGGCACCAGACGACCCCATTAGAGCTGTCATGGTTCCAGGTTTGGCATAGCCAGAGACGCCTTGGAGCAGATCAATGTCGTCCGCCTTCTTACAACCGGGCATGGGCACGGAATACCATAGATCCTGGAAAGCCAACGTGACGGGTGGAGCTCGTGGTGCTCTCGGGGTGACGATGGATACCGCAACATCTTCTGGGACTGTGGCCGACGCGTTGCCAACATTCGTCATAGCTTCTGAAGGCCCCTCTTTGGCATCGAGATCAGCTTGCACCACTGGTGTGCTCTCTGGGCTTTCGTAGCGTTTGTACTCAAGCACTAAATGTGCTGCTAGAACGAGAACGATGTACCCGACTACAAAGTAGAGCCACCCCAAGTAGATCCATATCGCTCCCGTTGGCAACCCAGAGAGTTGGAGACTATACTTACCGAATGTAGTTCCGAAACGAGAGCAGTAGTCGATCCCCCCGTACACACAGACATCGTATTTCTGTGCCAAATACTGGTTAACACTAAGCGAGCGAATACTCCACGCGACGGGGTCGATCCAGTAGAACCGATAAAGTGATCGGGGATGTCTGTCTTCCTCAACAGAAACCCGCCAAACAGCATGAAGAAGAAGATGGAGACCATCATTACTGGCTGAGCCATCGTGATGCTGGGAGAGGCAGCCGAGAGGAAGAAGAAGAAGGCTGTGAACCACGTTTGACACAGGAAAAGCGTGACGAGAAACGAGATGAATCTGTCAGCCAGAGCCACGTAGCCTCCCATCCAGTAGACGATCGCCCCGAAGAGTACAGTCTCCAAGATGGCGAAAGGAATCTGCGTCAATGACGAGGCCAAGACATAGGCTAGCGATCGGAAGAAATTGGCCCCGCGTTGCTTGTAGAACACACTGCGGGCCTCAATAAACGTGGGCAGCTGAGCTGCCTGCCCCATTGAGATGAACAAGGTGCACGAGAAGAGCAATCCGAGGATCAGCTGGCTGTTGGAATCGTTCATTTGCCAGAACACAGAGCCGTAGAGCAGACCCATCACCAGAACCATAAAGCACCGTCCGAAGAGGAAAGTCTTGTCCCGGAGTTTGATCTTACATTGACGACGGAATACCGTGACGAGGTCTTGGAGAAGCGACTGTCGAAACACACACGGGTCCTTAATCGGGTCGAAGACATCCGATTGGTGGTTGCTTCGTATCCTCATGTAGGTCAACGAGTTCTGGAAGATACCGGACTGACGAAAGCGCTCTGCGAATTCCACCGACTCGAGTGGGACCTTACTCTCTGTGAAGTCACCTTTGACATAGGCGTGTTGCTTTTCAGTCCCGAGGTCCAGTAGGAAGTCCGCCACATCTTTGCGAGGAGGACAGTGGAAGCCGAGGTTCTCAAAGTACTCCTGGACTTGTTCACGCGGCCCGTGGTACATGATGCGTCCGTCATTCATAATCAAGACGTCGTCAAAGAGGTTGAACACTTCGGGTGGCGGCTGTAGCAGAGACACGACGATGTTGGCTTTCAAGTGTCGAGTTAAGCTTCTGACTGAATTGACAATGTCGTACGTGGTGGCAGCGTCCAGTCCGGTGCTGATCTCGTCCAACAACAGCGCTCGTTTGCGGCCGAACGTCATTTCACCGGTGGTGACGCGTTTGCGTTCGCCGCCCGACACGCCACGGATCATGGCGTTGCCTACTATGGTGTCTTTGCAGCGATCTAAACCAAGAGACTTCACTCGGATCTCCGCAGCAAACTTGTGTTGTGCCGTCATGAGTTTAACTGCACGTTCGTGTTGATCTTTTTTGCACTTGTCTAGTGCTTTGAGCACCCATGGCTCCAGAGTGGCGCCTCCACAGCATCGTTGAGCGAACGCAAACGTCTCCTGCACCGTGCGTTGCGGATAGTGATCGTCCTTTTGGTTCGTGTACGCGATGAACCGCGGCAAGCGGCTTAGCACCTCTGCTCGCTGGACATCATTGTACGTGATCTCTCCGGACACTTCGATGGTTTTGCTCATGGGGAAACGCCCGCTTAGCATCTTGAGCAATGACGACTTGCCGGAACCAGGTTGCCCCAGTACCAACGTAATGCGAGTCGGCTTGAAGACTCCAGTGATGCCCCGCAGGATCTCCTTCTCGGCTGTTTCTTGGTTGGAGAAACACTTTAGTACTCCGTGTTTAACTTGAGTCCAAATCGTGGGAACTTGAGGTCCTTCCGAACCTGGTTTCGCCAGCGGTAGACGCGCCGAAATCTTCAAGTCGCGGAAGGAGATCTCAACTTCCGGAATCGGTCTTCCCAGTGCATCCTCAACTGCTGCGGCCAGATTCTCATGCATTGCAAGTATGCCGTCGGCTAGTAAGCCGTCAGCGCTATAGAGGTCAGGCTGCTCCATGCTGGCCAAGACAGCCCGACGTATCGCTAGCTATCAAGTTTCTTTGTTCAGGAATGAAGAATGAGCAGAAAGGTTGGGTCAGTGCCACCGACGGTGGTCCGTTGGTTTTGTTTTCCTTGAATATGGATTGGCTTACATCAAAGAAAACAAAACCAAATTCATCATGCCGTCTATTTGGGTACACGCGAGACAGAATCCACGATCAGTGTGTTGATTATTAGCTAATTGTAAATGAATCAGGTATTGGTAAGCAGGTGTTCCCGAAATAATCATTGTTTTGATATTCTAATACAGTTTTTTTAAAGAAATTATTTGTTGTTGAGAGGCCAGATATCAATTTCAACTTGAAAGTATAGATTGGTAAGTTTCATATAAAAAACTAACCGAAAAAAGCTTTAAGTCAGGTAATTTTCGCCCGGAACGTCATTAAACAATATAAATGCTCATTGAAGTTAAAGAGAAAGGGACGATGCACGAAAGCAAGCTGTAAAGGTGCCGGTATCGCGCCGATTGAGCTGCTGAAGTTCAATTCTTACGTCGTTGTTACGCAGTGCACCGCTCATGCTCGGTTCGGGTCGTTGGACCGGTTCCGTAGTGAACCGTCCTGTGATTGGTCCATATAGTACAACACCTACATGGTTGGTAGCGACGGTTGGTTGGAGCAGGTAGTGCACAAAGGACAGGAAAGACAAGTAGAAGAACGATAACATCAATCTTATTCACTTCGGTTTTTACCAGCAAACCAACAGGTTAACAGCCGCAACAAGAACTCTACCAAGCACGCCCCACCACCTTCATTCTACCATGACGTCCAAGCGAGCCGATGTCCTCCTGGGTAGTGGAAACTACTTCCACTGGGAGTTTAATATGCGCATGACGTTGGCGCGCAAGGGGTTGCTGGCGCACGGCCAAGTCGTCAAGAAGGAAGCGGAGGTGACTGAAGCGTGGCTCATCAACGACGCTAAGGCACTGGGGATCATCGCCCAAGGCGTCGAGCTGCAACACCAGACGAAGATACGGTCTGCAACGTCTGCTATGCACGCTTGGAACACTCTTCGTGAGCTCTACTACCGTACCACTCTGCACAACCGCGTCGAAATGACACGCCGTCTCCATGAGTTCAAGATGGAGAACGGCTCGACCATGCCCAAGCATTTGGACGCTTTCGACGAGCTTGTTGCTGGTCTCCAGACGCTAGGAGAGCCGGTTGACGACTCAAGACAGCTAGTTGTACTGCTGAGCAGCCTTCCGACGGGGTATGAGCTGATTGCGTCTATTGTGAAGAGCGCTAAGGATATCACGCTCATTGAGGTCAAGGAGAAGTTGTTGAAGGAGCTCGAACGGTTGCAAAAGAAGGAGACGACGGAGAAAGCGTTTCCTGTGAGTGGTAGCGGTGGACGGTTCAAGGGCGGCCGAAGTAACGGTCGAAAGGGGAACAGTCCAAGGAAGAACGGTGGTAGCTTCAAGGGCAAGTGTTTCAAGTGTAATCGAGTTGGTCACATGAAGCGGGACTGTCCGGGAGAGAGCAACGGTGCTGAGGATGACGCGGTATTTGCTGTGGGCGAAGAACGGTTCGCTGGATGGCTAATCGATAGCGGTGCGACCTCACACATGACACCGTACCGTGAAGATCTGTTCGACTATGAGGGAATGGTCTCGGGCATCGAGGTGACAATTGCAGATGGGAAGAAGTTGCAGGTCGCAGGCAGAGGAACGGTCAAGTTGACCGGTATGGATAGCAAGCGCATCAAGATGGTGGAACTTCTGTACATCCCAGGACTTGACAGACGGTTGCTGTCGGCCGGGAAGCTTGCGGAACGCGGTTTAAGTGTGGAGTTCCAGCGTTCCTTGTGTGTCATCTGGGGCAAGAACAGTGCTGTGGCACTGGGCAAGAAGGTTGGCAAGGCGTACGTGCGTGACTCTGAACAAGAAGAAGCACGCTTCGTGGAATACGCCGGGGTTGACAACCAGTGGGAGCTTTGGCACGCTCGTATGGGACATCCCAGCGAGAACGGTATGGCCAAGACTCAGTCTGCCACGAACGGTATACCAGTCGTGAACCGTGGCATCAAGACTTTATCCGGTGGATGCATGAAGGGGAAGCAGACTGTGACACCGTTCCTGGCACGGTCAACGAGCAAGACATCACGTGTGCTGGAGTTAGCCCACACGGATGTAATGGGGCCTATGCGAACGGTCTCCAAAGGTGGAGCACGGTATGTGCTGACATTTGTGGATGATTTCTCACGGTTCGTGGTGGTGTACTTTATGAAGAACAAAAGCGAAGTCGCCACTAAGCTGGCCGAGTTCAAGGCGCCCTATGAGAACCAATGGGGGGAACGGATCAAGTGTCTTCGCTCTGTCAACGGAACGGAGTATGTGAGCAAGAAGGTCACGCAGCTATGTGCTCCAAACGGTATCATGCATCAGTGTACTGTGCCATACAGCCCTCAGCAGAACGGTGTGGCTGAACGGATGAACCGTACGATCATGGAAAAGGCACGAAGCATGCTGCACTACAAGGGTGTGTCGACGACATGGTGGGCAGAGGCTGTGAGTACCGCAGCGTACCTGATTAACCGCTCGGTGAACACGGAGCGGTCAAACATGACGTCGTACGAGGTGGGATTCAACGAGAATTCACGAATGGAACACTTGCGTGCGTTCGGGTCTCATGGGTACTCTCACATCGACAACGAAAAAGAGAACAAAGCTTGATCCGAAGAGTTTCAAGTGTGTGTTCCTCGGATACGCAGAGAACACAAAGGGGTACCGTGTCTACGACTTGGAAGCGTCCAAGGTCAAGGTGGCACGGTCCGTCAAGCTTGACGAACGTGAAGTAAACGGTATATACGATACACCGTGCTCGGGACAAGGACGGTAATTCACGTGACCAAGGACACTGATGTAGCAGTGACCCCAATTCCGGCTGAGCGTCCAGTAGTGGATGAACCTATGGAAGATGTCGAAGAGCCCGTTCAAGATATCGAGATGGACAACGTGGAACCGGATCAGGATACTAGTGTACAACAATCACTGCCACTGGAAGGTGGGACCTCCACTGGGCTGGAACTGGCAGAGTACCATGGCCCGCAACCGTTCCACGAGGATCGCTTAGTATTCCGTCCGGAAGTAGAACGCTCAAGGCGTTCTCGAGAGCCAGTGTTTCTTTGGGATGGCGGTCTGGAGCTTGATGAGGAACGGAAGTCGGAAGGAAGTGACGGTCCACCAATACCTAAGCGTCCAACAATTGACGAAGGTGGCCTACTTGCAGAAGCAGTGTTGGCGTATGCGGCAAGGATCAACGGTGTACCTGACACGCCGAGCTCGTACGCTGAAGCAGTTGCAATCAATGAAGCAGCGGGGTGGCGGAAGGCGATGGAGGCAGAGCTTCTATCGCACAAGAAGAACGGTACTTGGACATTTGTACCGCGCAAAACGGTCCGTCCGATTGGGTGTCGCTGGGTGTTTGCCAAGAAGCGTGATGAGAACGGTCGAGTGATTCGTTACAAGGCACGGTTGGTGGCTAACGGGTTTAAGCAGAAGTATGGAGCTGACGTTTTTGAGACGTACTCCCCTGTGGCGAACATGAACTCAATCCATGTAGTCTTGGCTGTGTGTGTTGCGGACGCATACGAGATGGAACAGTCGGATGCAGACACAGCGTTCCTGAACAGTGAGCTGAAGGACCGTGTCTACATGGAGGTACCGTTCGGCATCAAGAACGCTAAAGATCACGTCTGTTTGCTGATCAAGGCCATCTATGGGCTGAAGCAGGCTGCGAGCGCCTGGAACAAAACCATTCACAGAGTCTTCATGAAGAACGGTTTCAAGAGTTGTGGTGCAGATCAGTGTGTGTACGTGAAGCATTCCAAGAACGGTTACATCTATGTTTGTCTCTATGTGGACGACATGATCATCGCTGCCAAGACCCGCGATGAGATCTGTGAAGTCAAAGAGGTCCTCAAGAACGCTTTCAAGATGAAAGAGCTTGGTGACGCGAAGTTTATCTTGGGGATGGAGATTGATCACGACAAGAGCGCTGGAACACTGATGATCAAGCAGACGCGGTACATCGACGACGTAACAGAACGGTTCGGGCAGCAAAACGCTAAGGGCACCGACAACCCTTGTGCGTCCAATCTCAAGTTGTCGAAGGAGCAGTCACCAGGAACGAAGACGGAGTGTACGGAGATGCAGGCAAGACCGTACCGTTCTCTAATCGGATGTCTGATGTACATTACGACGTGTACTAGGCCGGATATTGCCGACGTGGTGACGCAACTGTCGCGACTCCTCGAGAGCCCTGGTCTATATCCTGGCGAGCTGCGATTCGTGTGCTTCGGTACTTGAAGACGACACGCACACTTGGGATCGTGTACAACGGAGGATCGGGCGAGGTCACGGTTGAAGCTTTCACGGACGCTGACTGGGGGAGCAATATCGATGATAGGCGTTCCGTGTCAGGTGTGATGGTGATGATCAGGAACGGCCCAGTGGTTTTCAAGTCGAAGTTTCAGAGAACGGTAGCGCTGAGTTCTGCAGAAGCTGAGTACATGGCGTTGAGCCTGTGCACCCAAGAAGTACTGTGGACGCGCGCGATGTTGAAGGACATAGGAAAGGACCAGGAAGAGGCTACGCAGATCCAGGCAGACAACCAAGGGGCGATAGCACTGGATCTGAACGCTGGCTATCATGCCAGAGCTAAGCATGTCGACATCAAGCACCACTTCACGAGGAAAAGTGTAGCGAACGGAACGGTCAAGATCGACTACGTGGACACTAAGCACCAACTCGCGGACATGCTCACAAAGGGGCTTGGCACCAAGACGCTCAAGTATTTGCGGAGCGCTAGCGGTATCAAGAAACTGGTGGACACCGTGCAGTAAGCGGTGAGTGGGAGTGTTGAGCAGTGCACCGCTCATGCCCGGTTCGGGTCGTTGGACCGGTTCAGTAGTGAGCCGTCCTGTGATTGGTCCATATAGTACAGCACCTACATG